CTTTTTATCAACAAGTTGAGACAAGAGCCCTTGATTTTAGTATCAATGATCGAAGAAGAGCCATTAAAAATGCAGTGGATGAGAAGTCTCAATATTTTTCTTGTCGCGCCGGCACGGACGCCTTGCTCCTCGCATAAGCTAAAGAGCATCGGGGTCAACCCTGCTTAGGAGCGGCGTCGGTGTCGGCGTGAGGGTTGCCGGGGACTTACGCCGCGCTCGCTGCTCGCCACTGTGCCACGCGGACTCCCAATAGGCCTAAGCAGCCCCGACTGTAATATGCCACCATTGACTACGAACCACATCCCATGGGTACGCCGTGATGTTACTATTCCCTTGTATTATATCCTACGATAGAACGACCAGCCACGCCTACGGGCATTGCATCAATTATAAACATAGCGATCATGTTGATAAAGAGATAGTACTATGCGGTCGAACCGCTTAGAATACAACACACGACAAGGAGAATAGACATAGACATAGATTCATATAACTATTCAACTACGACAGAAAGAAATAACTACAACATTGTACGGCTACTACAACTAAACTCACGGGTCGAACCCAGTAGTATTCCTTACGCGGGGTGACGTGGCTCGGTTCCGATGTCCATCGACGGGCATCCATGCCCGGATCCACTTGCTGACGTACGAACAACTGGAGCACGAAGTGGCGACAACGGAACAGACAGCGACGACCAGCGGCTGCACTCGACGGCGGCACTACGTAGACTGAAGACAGGCAGAGGCGCCGGCACTCTGCTTCTCTGACGTTCTTTCGAGAGACTTCGATGGCGCGGGCGCGCCAGGACCCGCGCACACCCGACCAGGCGCGACCCTTTAATTGAAGTCGTGAGGTACTGACACTTCTGTCGAAATCCCATTGGGTAATATGAGAATGGGTTTCACAGACAAACATAGACACTAACATCCTTCTTGTAGCTGTGTATCGCTATTGTCAGCTCGATCGAAATGAAAATGCACCTGAGTAAAGAGGAAGGTTTTTCTGTACAGAATAGCACAAAGGCACATCATAGCAGCTCATTGCTATAACGCCTATCCACATGAACTCGCTTGCTAGTTCTGGTTCAGCTGGTTCAGGCAGTTTCTCATTTTTGACTTTGTTTTGTTTGTTAACTGCTGTTTTTGCCCGCAGTTCGCTTTGCGAATGCTTCGCGAATGGATGAATAAAACAGTTTCTCGTTAACATTCCACGACAGTCGACACTTGCGACTTTGGGCTCAGCGTGCAATCCACTCACATTGGTTGACAGACTTCAGTTTCATGGTATCAAATGGCAGGGAAAACTGTCGATACGAGACTTGTACATCTCCTAGTTAATGAGGCACCAAAAAACACGTCTCTCGTGTCCCACCAGATTATGAGCACATTTTGGCTAACGGATGCTGCAGGACTGCAGTAGG